TTCGCTTGCGGCGCGACGAAAGCGCCGCCACACTCGTAATGGTGGGTGGTCGGCACGCTATAATATAAATGTGTGCGTTAGGCATGTATGTACTGGCTGTCAGGCATACTTACGCTGAAATTTATGGTCAAGTTAGGGACTTGTGAGAATGATATAGGCTCTATATGCCGAACTTTACTTTTAAGAATTTCTTACACCGTGGAAACACCCAATTTAACAGACATCAGGAGTCAGTGAACCAAACAATCCCCTAGTTATAACATCATATGATTGAACATACGTTTGAAGAATTTTGGAAAAAAAAATTATCGATAGTTTTTCTGCTTCCCAGTTTGTTTATGTGCTTTTATTTTATAATAAATTTCAGTTTTGCTACCGTCAAAAGATTCATACAAATGAATGCAATATTTTTTTTAAATTGTAGTGCACAAGAATTTTCGGTGTTTGTGTGGTGGTTTATGAAAGAAAAGAAAGATTGGTTCAACGTTTAACCTATATGACAGACGTGTTTTTTGTGGTGCCGTGGGAAGAGTATTATTATGGCTTTAGTTTATATTATTTTAAATATAAATAATCGCCTTCAGATTGAATTTTGGTCACGACTTCCAGTCCACGCTCAATTTTTTGACAGAAAAACCCAATAACTAATGTTTGGCGTTTGAACCCAGCACCACACCATTAGCAGTCACGTTAACGGCTACTAGACCAACGAGGCAGTCATATATTAAATATTTTTTTGTATATATTAATATTATTTGTTATATAATGCTTATGTTTGTTTATTATAAAACCTCACAATAAAAATAATTAAAAGAATAAAAAACCTTAATCATTGACTAAATACAAAGAACGTAAAATTGTACCAATACAGTTCTATATTTAGAGAAACAAGTGTAGGTGTTCAGAAACAACGAAATGTGTGGAGTCTTTGAGCATAAATCACTTCACGCTTCAACGATGTAATAGCAATTCGAAGCATAAATTTAAACTTTCATTCTATGCGTTCACTGCCATGAATTTGTTTTTGTGTCGTACTTGAGTAGATTTATACATGCGTCCATTACTGTCGCTACTTTTAACATATAAAATAGCACAATTTTATTGTGTTTACGCAATTTCTGCGGAAAAAAAATTAAAATTTTTAATGCTGCTATTCGGTGCGAGTGTTGTCCTTCCTATTCTTAGCCCATTCTTGTGCCAGTCATAACATAACGTTATAGAGTTGTTACACCACGTAAAAAACATCACTACGTAGAATAAAAAAGTATGCCGTATATTATGATCGGTGAAAGTAGCACCTTATTCCAATCCTACGAATATAAGTATTAAAACTTATACGATACATTTAACGCTTACAAAAGATGTTATTACTATTATGATTATGTGCATGTGCAGGTCAACATTTTGTACTAGCCCTAGCAGCCCTACGTGCTTTTTGTAAATTTTTAGTGAAATGCACTTGACCTAATTCCGACCACAAAGCAATTGAGTATGTTAAAAATCATGTACAGTAGATAATCTTTAAAACCTAAAGTGACTAACACACTTTCAATTCATACAGGTACTATAGAATACGGTCAACTATGCACATCTTTTCAATCTCAATCACAGATATTTGAAGTATTCCGAATATTTCTATCGTTTATTAATTTAATTAGAATATGTAATTTTAGATTTTCGATAATCATGCTTACGTATAGGAATCTCATATCCTAATATACCTAATATAATTTATGTAAGTACATAAGTATCTAAGAAGGGCAGTCAATGATAAATAAAATTTGTTTTGTAAGTTGTTTTTTTTAAAACACTTTAACACAACAGAAAAATTAAAATGAGAAGAAACACCCGATCTGCCGAAACAAACTCAAGAGAGGTCAGTCCAGGTATTACATTGGTCATGTCATACGAGAACCAGGTTAATATGCTCCTTTGAAGAAAGAATCATACAGATGTGAGTGGACAACTAAGTACTTTTTAGGAAAAATATTTGTTTATATTTAACCTTACCTCAGACATACTCACATTTTTTATATATAATTTACTATACTACTATATAAGCTACTACTAAATAAAATAGTAGTAGCTTTGCTACGGTATTATAGTATATTTTGGATTAGATTTAATTAATTCTAGAATAATACGAACTATATAAAAACTAAGGAGCGTATCAACCTACCTTAGATATTGGGTTATGAATACAGATAAGTACACATAGGATTTAGTTTCTAAGTTGTACATATTTTTATAGCCTTCGTTATGAATAGCATAAACAGGCCAAGCCCCCTAGCCTACAAACGTTTCGTAAAGAATCTCTTTCTACAATCGCGCCTTTTATTTGTTTGGACTGACCACCTAACTCGTTCAGTGATGTCATTCCCATACAGTGTTTAGTTTTCAACTACCGTTATCTATCATAAAATAAATCAAAATTTTATTTCGCTAATTGTGTCTGTACTGTGAATTTGATTAACAGTCGATCTCTAGATTGTAGTTTTCTTCTAATTACTTACCTTGTCTAGACGTGTTCTTTGGACTTCTGTAAGGAAGTCTGTGTTGTTAGTATTCCGTTTATATACGTTACTATTTTGATAGACGTTTGTGCTTGTCCCTGCAGTGACACAATGCCTATTGTTGATAACTTTCTAAGTACTAAGAGAATATTGCAAACCGCTATTGAACACAAACAATCAATAAACAATTTACAAACTAACATTTTTTATTTATTTAATTAACCTATATAAAAGCCCCACTCACATCTAAATCGCGCTGTCGAAAAAGCAGTTATCCTGACACTTGCTAGCATATACTTCGGGGAGTTGCCTGTGGGCTATTATAGCTAACTAGCTATGGTAAGTAAATACCTATTTAGAATACATAGTACCTACAGTAATATTTGCATAACCTACAATAAAATACAAAAACATAAAGAAAACATAATTATGTTAAACTTTTTTGTATTTGTTTTAGAAATGGTTATATTTTTTTCAAAAAAAGTTTTTTATTTTACCATTTTTAGTCGAGAGTTATGTCCTTTTAGTGGGTGCAGGTGCGTGATATTACATTGCGTGATTGCGTAAAGAATGCATTGATAGGCGATAGCAGCAGTCGCGGTTGATTTGCTGTCATTTATTGAAGAGTGCCCCCGATTTCTCCAAGATCCCATCATTAGATCTTGACCTGACCATCATTGATTACCGTGGGATTATCTGGAAAATATATCCTTTCAAACAAAAAAATAATTTTCCAAATCATTTCAGGCATCTTCGAGAAATCGGGGGACAGAACATACATAAACAAAAACTAACGAATTGAGAACCACCTCCTTTTTTTCGAAGTCGGTTAAAAAGTAGGTAAAAACAAATCAATGAAATTATTATATAATAACAACATCTACTTAAGTTCACATAAGAACTTTCATAATAACAACTACATAAATTGGGTTCATAATAATTACGTTTCACACAGCAGATCCTAAGTTACAATTACACCAATTTGCTTTCTCTCTCCTTTCTCTTTTTAAAATACGTTACCCCCACAGTACGATTTTCTCCAGTATCGTGGAGGCAGTTTACAAACATAAATTGCACAAGGACAAACATCCAGATCCGGAACAACTATTTGTAGTCCATACAAATATTTGTTCCGTGCGGGATTCGAACCCGCGGCCCCTAGCGCAGCTACTCATTGCTAAGCCACTACGGCACGGAAGCTCACAAATGCCGTTTGAGTTTATTTTATTATTCTAAAATGAATCGCATAGGTAGGTACGCGATGACGCCGTCGCGCATTGCGTCACTCGAGTGCGTATGTGTGTGCGCACTAGCTTCTTACTGCTCATCACAGCGTCTATCCCTTTCGCACGTGATGTCGGCTGAGATAATATGCATTTTTACCCCGCCCACCACTTAGTTCGTGCCATCAACTAGGGGCACCTTAAAGTTCGAGGACGAATATACAGAGTATATTTAAAACTCATTTTTAATTTTTTTTTGCGCATTTGCATTAAAAACGATCTTATTTTTGTTTTCTATCGACACAATATACTGAGTGATGGGGGTATGAAATAATACTTTTTAATAGGTGTGCCAAATAAATCTACATATTTTTAATAAAACGACCAGCGGTTATTAACGGGGGATTGACCGACAGTTGGCTGTATTTCAATGTATTTGCGAATCGTTGTACTTTCTTTTTGTAAATTAACACATAAACTGATGCTGTAAGCAGCAATTACTGTGGAAAGATCTCTTCTCTACACTTTCTTACTTGCCTGTTTTGCGTAACGAGTAGGGGCAAACTCTTCAAATTATGCATTAAAGTTGACAAATTTTTCAAAATTCTATTCATCGAAACTTCAATGCAGGAAAAACTGTTACATAAGCCAAGAACTTTAGTGAAGTTTTTATTACACTGTTCCTTGAACTTCTTCAAAATTAACATTTTTTTTAACAAATTTTTGAAGTAATATTTTCCGTCTGACTCAAATCCGTGACGACTTTACTATTGAAAGTATAAGTTCATATTTTCAATAATTGGTAACTTTCATTAAAATTAGAACGATTTGTGCAGTCAAAGATAGCAAATGGTATGATTATTATTATACCATATGTTGCATTGACTTATATACTTTTGTAATCATTGTATGGTTTCCCACACTATATTAAACGAAAAATGTGAAAAAACAAGTCATAAGAAATAAATCCCATAAAGAACAGTTTTGAAAATTTATTTTATAAAGTGTAATTTTACTCTACGGTAGTAGATGCAACTAAACTAAAGTTTGTATATCGTTTGAATACCTGTAATAATATTTTGCGTTGATCACTATATTTTGCACCTTCTAATTTACTTATTTACAACTTTAATCTAACTATAACGCTAAAATATCTGTTTTCAAAACTTACTATAGTATGACAGCTTAAAATAATTCTTTGCGAACAAAAGAAATTTTAATACATAACTATTTAGCGCTATTTTAATTATTCTCAAGACATTTTTCAATTCTTTGCTATTCCTAACAAAATATTATCAGTAGATGCAGTAATAGAGTGCTGTAGAATATCTTCTTTACTTTGTATTGAATGATAGTCATTCATTTCTGACCACGCTGGGTCAGATTTAGCTATTCGTTTTCGTTCTTTAATTTTGGTATATAATAAGACGGATACCATGATAAAAAATACTACAAATCCTAAAGAGCAACCAACAATTAAGCCCATTCTACGATTTAGAATAGTCGATAAATTAAAATTTTTATTGTAACTTAATTTCACTGTTTGCTTCGAGAATGTATCAAAAGAAATGCATTCACTCGAAGAAGACTGCGAAATTAATATTGCAGCTACGCTACGACTCATATTAGAAGTAAAATTAATGTCACTACTGAAATTAGTCAAAGTAGTTATTTCCTCTTCAATTGTCTGCGTTAAAGGATGCCGATCTAAAGTTAATATACATATTATATAATTTCTACTTGGCTTTAGATCTGATATTAAAGTTGATGTCTCAGTTTTATCAATATACCTGTAGGTCACCTGTAAGCATTAAAATTGTTTCAATAAATGATTAATGAAAAAAACTTATGGAGGATACATGAAAAAAAACTTACGCCTGAGTTCAAGTCATCATCATAATACAAAATCTGTAAGGATTTAACAGCTGTACGGTTACGAATAAACCACGAAATTGATACTGAGTTATCTTTGTGTTTGTCAATAGACATTTGAGTCAATATTGGAAAATCGCATTTTTCTTTGGGATATTCATCGTTATGGCAGGTCACATCATTTGTCTGTATTATTTTTGGATGATCTTGAATCCACGTCCATGTATTATTTTTTTGACAACTACAAATTATAACGTTATCTGAAACAATTTTTTGCACCAAATAGACTTTAACGTTTCTTTATTAAGAAATTTATTTAAAAGCCTTAGAGATCTTACCTTTTATTGAAATATCTTGAATATGTGTCTCAATTGATAAGAACAATTCTATCGGTATCATGTGAAGTTTATTATGTTCTAAACCTATTTGTATTATTTTATTTAAATTATTGAAAGCTGTTACTGATATATATTTGATATTGTTAAATCCCAAGTATAACACATTGAGTTCTTTTAAGTTGGCTAAATCTTGATTAAGAATATTTTGCAGTTTGTTATACGATAGATCTAGAACCTTTAAATTATAAAGGTCATCAGTAAATGGTTCCATGGATTCAATATTGTTATTCGATAAACATAAAGCGCTTAGTTTTTCAAGTCCGCGAAAATTGCTGGTTTTAACTTGACTTATTTTATTATAACTGAGATCCAAATTTTCTAGTAAATTTAGCTTCGAAAAAGGACTTATAGACAAACGTCTTATTTTATTAAATTTTAGGTATAAATGTTGCAAACTAGTAAACAAATCAAAATTTATATCATCAAGATTAGACAAATTAGATTTGCAGATGTGTAGTTCATATAATTTACCTAAAATTGTATTATTAACCTCTACATCATGCACTATGGACCACGATATTGTTGGATTTTTGCTCATGTCAATACTAATTAATGGCACTCCATTGTTGCTACGTGATAACAAAAAGTCAAAATTAACAATTTCGTTATATGAAATATTAATATTTTGTATCTTTGGGAAGTTTTCGCATAACAAGGATGGCAAAATACTTAATTTATTATGGCTTAAGTCTAATAATATTAATTCTTTTAATACTATTCTTTTTTTCATGGTAAGTGATTGAATTTCATTTTTTCTCAAATTTAGGTATTTTAATTTCGTTAGTTTTTCAAAACCACTTAATTCAATTTTGGGTAACAAGTTGTCTGCTATATCTAAAGTTTCAACAAGAGTTAGATTATAAAATGTATTGTATGGTACGTAATCTAAAAAATTGTTGCTTATGTTTACTTCAGATATTGAATTATATGATTCAAACAATGTATGAGGAATACCTCCAATATTATTCTGTGCTATATTTAGTCTTACAAGACGTTTATTAAATGAAAATGTGCCTTCAAAAATGTATTCTATATTGCAATGTTCTAAAAATAAAACTTCAAGTAGAGGGAGTTGAGAAAAGGAATCAACAGGTAAATTATCGAAAATATTATAAGAAAGTGATAAATATTTTAATCCTGGGATATCAATATAAATTAAATCACTAGATTTAAGTGAATTATTTTTTAAATACAGATGTTTAAGATTATTCATACCTTCGAAGGTACCATTTTCTATTTTTTGTATTTCACAACTGTCTAAGTACAATGAACTTAAAGGTAAACCGTGCGAGAACAGACTTTTGTAAATTACTTTCAAGGGGTTAAATGACATATTTAAAGTTCTTATTTTCTTTAATGTATCAAAAGCCATGCTAAAAATAAAAACTATTTTATTATATGATAAGTTTAAATCTTCTAACTCAAAAAGGCCTACGAAAGTAAAATTAGTGATGTTACGTAATAAATTATTGTGCAAATCTAAATTTCTTGCGGAACGAAGTTGTTGAAATGTGAAATCATGAATTATAGATATTTCATTACTGTGTAGATCAATTCGAGTTAAGTGAGTTAAATTTGAAAAAACATTTTTTGATAAAAATTTAACATAATTACTTGTTAAACTTAAATGATGCAACTTCTGTTGATATCGAAGACTCAAATTTTTTATTGAGGTAAGCAAATTAGAATCAATGCGTAACTTTAGTAAAGTAGAACTTGGCTTTGGTAATATATCATCTATTTCAACTAGGTAATTATCGTGTAAACTAAGGTGCCTAAGTCGAGACATTTTCACAAACGTCTCCGATTCTATACTAGTAATTTTATTATTATTTAAATAAATCTCTTCTGCCATTGTTAAATTATAAAAAAGATATTTTGAAACGAACTTCAAATTATTATTGTTAATTAGAATTTCACTTAATATTGCTTGGCTACCGAAAGTGTTATTATTCAAATCTATAACGTTATTACTATCTAATTTTAAAATAGTTAAATTATAATTATTAATAAATATATCTTGTGGCACTTGAGTTACGTAGTTGGAATCTAAGCGCAAGGCAGCTAAGTTCTCTAAATTACTAAAGCTTTTACTATGAATCTTATATATACAATTTTTTTGTAAGTGTATTGTATTTATTTTAGTTGAATTGAAAAAGGAATCGATTGGCACCTCCAAAATATTGTTGTTACCTAAAAATACTTTAGTTAAAAACGGCATATTAGAAAAAAGACCATGTATGTGATGTAAATGGTTATGACTTAAATCAATGAATTCTAATTCTTTATTATTTTGAAAAAGATTTGTATTTAACACTTTGATTCTATTATGACTCAAATCAATGGATTTAAGGTAAAGTAATGAGTGAAAGGCGCGATAATGTATGCTGTTTATAAAATTAAAATTAAACGATAATATTAATAGGGACGGACAAAATTTAAAGCAGTCTTCTGAAATTAATACAAAATTATTAGAACTTAAATCTAAATATTCAAGTGACTTTAGATCGTAATCTTCAATAGTTGGGAATGAAGACATCTCATTCCATGATAATTGTAAAGATCGAAGATGCCTCAATTTCGCAATGGACGCCATGGGAAAAACTGTTAGATTATTTTCACTTAAATCGATTTCTGACAGAGTTAATTCCAACCCAGAAAAGGCTGAATCTGAAATGTGTCTAATAATGTTTTGTTTTATGTTTATTTTCATCAACGGAAGACCATAAAAACTATAACTCGGAATCTCTTCAATGTAGTTAGATGCAAGTTCGATAGACATCAGTTTTATCATGCCTGAAAACACTTTTTGTGGAATATATTTAATTTTACTTGACATAATACTTAACGTTTCAAGGCACTGTCTTAATGTCGCGAACGTCTCATCATCGATTATTCTAATATTTGTTCTTGATAAATGTATATGTTTAATGCAAATGCCAAATGGTAAAAAATGTGGTCCCAAAACTTCTTCTGTGTCATCTAAGTCATATATGGATAAGGAATGTACATTCATAACCCTCTTGAGCGTATTTTTTATTTCTTTTGTATTTGAGTCTTGACAGTCTAAAAATATAGCTGTAACGATTTAAAAATACAGTGTTTTATTCATGTATAGCACACACACTATAATATATATTATAGTGTAAGACTGTATAGTATAGTGCACTGTATTATAAAAATGTTGTATATTTACCTTCTTCAAATATATAACATGTGCATTTATCATTTTTAACGAAATCGTTACACTCCAGGGTATTTTTAGCTCGGAGAACTGAAGGTAATACCAGTAGTAATAGAATAATTTGCCATATAGAACTTTCATGTTTCTTCTTTTTCACGCGTGAAACAATTGTCATAATTACATAATTAATTAAAAAAGTATTAGTGCAATATCACCTATAATATTTATCAGGAAACTCTGGAAAAAAGCAGAAATAATTTGAGTATATACCAGATTTTATATAACTTTATCTTATAACAATAAAGTAAAAATAATTATTTTATGTTTATTGCAATATTTCATACACGTATTTTACAAAAGTATTACATAAACTATAGACTGAAGGCAAAAAGTTAAGTAGTCATTTAATGTATATACACAAAAAAAAAAACAATAATATTTTTAACTTTTAAGCGGCCAATGGCATAAACTGACAAAAGATAAAACTAAGAATACAGCAGACACTAGACATAAAATATTCTTTAATTTTTGTAATAAATACTTACCAGGTTGTTTTTAACTCACACTAATACATGATCAATCAGAAATCATAGTTATTCTTTAAAACTTAAGGCTCATTTTCGTAGCTCAACTTAGCGCAACTAGAAGAATTCCACGTGCGACTATCTCTTACTTTCTTATGTTAACGCATACGATGGAAACTGGTTTAGCTTAATTTTTGGAGAAGGTAACTTGAGTGCAATAAAAAATACTTTAACACAACAGACGACGCTGGAAGTCATTAGAAAGCTCGACTGAAGACTGCCGCGGCGGCGCGCGCTGTGTAGGTCACCGCCGCGTTGTTGCGGCACCCCCGACCCACTATTATTATACTTTTATGACGAATCGGATTTCGCCACTCGAGCTTTGTGTAATGCGGCCGTATAGGACTTTGTCTAATAACTATAGCTACCTATATTTCGGTATAGGTCTCATAAAATTTCAATAGGAAATATTGTTCCAGGAGAGTACTTAGTACATCAAAAGGAATAAAGTTATTTTAAATTCTCATAAAACTCAAAAGCGATAAGTAAAACAAACTGTTCATTTAATCAATTTTTTACAAATAAAATTTCAGTTATAAAATATCTTTAAATATAATATGAAACCGTTTAATTGTACAAGTTTTGTAAAGAATATGTAAGAGTATGTACTTCAAATGAATTTCACGATTGTACTTACGACATCAAGAAGTGGGTCTATAAAAAGCTTTTTATATTTGAAGAACTTACAGTGAATGGCAGGAAATATTAAATAATTATTGAAAAATTAGTTGAAGGTATTTAAGAGTAAGAAAATGTAATAAATAGTTAAACGTATTAATAAATTTGTTGCAAAAACGACAAAAAAATTTATAGTAATTGTACTCTATATAAATATAACCGATACAAAAAGAGAATTAAACAACTTTTATCTAAAAAATGTTTGTAACAAACTTACAGTCCACCCGATGGAAAGTAATCACTGCATTCCATAGACACCTGCAGTCATCTTCAGTCGAGAAAGGCTACAGAATCGTTGTCACCTCAGAGGACTAAGAGGAATGCCGCAAAGCCTGTAATTATGCTGGCCCTCTTTACTGTTCATACCGGAATCGAGCAGTGTTTGCATGGCTATATGGCGTCATAGTATTTTTTAAATCAAATTATAATACTGAAAAGTAAAATGCTATTATTGCTGAATTGATTAAAATTATCCCGGTTGGAATATAACTTGGATATCTCAGAAGATGGGCGCTGGTCCCTAATTTCGAGTGCGCGAAAAGCTCAAATTTAATCCCTTCAGGCACCAGTGAAATTTTTAAGTCATTGTTTTGAATGCCGAACGTGCTTTGCGATGAATGATAACATTGACAGGAAACCTTTATGTACTTAAAATATCTCGAGGATGTATGAAATGCAACGTCAACGCATAGCGAGCGGCCAGTAGGGCTGCGAGACGAACTCTTGTCCGTTACAAAAACAGTCACAGAAATGAAAGGGGGCATGTGTGTGACAGTGTTTTGTTTAAAAAGCTGTAGTTTTTTAAACAAAACACTTTATTGATTTCTGAAACCAAAGAAATATAACAAAAATATAAATTTTGACAACTTTATATATAATATGCAACTATTGCTATCGCAACTAATCCATACTAATATTATAAATGCGAAAGTGTGTTTGTTTGTTTGTTTTGTCCTTTCAAGTCGGAACAGAGCGTCGGCATGGCATGATTTTTTGTATTGGGATAGTTCGGTGGCTGTAGAGTGACATAGGTTACTTTTTTCCGCGGAAAAACATCTCATTCCCGTGGGAAAATAGAATATGTTGCAAAATTAAATTCAGCTAGGTGGCGCCACAGTGATTCTACAAGACGTACGACGGTACGATGGACGAATACAGAACGTCAGAATATCTGGATTATTATGCCTTTTTACCAAAATTAAGATAAAAAATGTATGGATCTGTATTTTTCCACGCAGGACCGGGAAGAGAGCGACAAAAAACATAAAATTCACCAGCTGATTTTCTTCAAACGTTTTGGTGCATTGTAATTCACAGAATAGGCGATAACCTCGCAGACGATATTAAGTAATCCGTTGATGCTCTGCCTACCCCGCAAGGGTTACAGGCGTGATTATGAGAATGGATCAGAAATACTATCACCACCACGCTTTCACCCTTAACTATTACTTAACTGTGGTAGAAACAGTTCTTAGTAAGCCTTATTAATAAGCCTTAGTAATATTTATTGAACGGAAATTAATACAGTTCTTATATGTGGTTATGAATGAATCGGTATTACAATAAGAAAAATTGTGCAAAATTACAAGAAAAATATTTTTGAGAGTTCTTACTAACGTATACATAGTTTGATTCCGCTAGATGTCGTTACTAGGTTTTTAAAACGCGGTAACGAAATGTTTCCTGACATGTACTTAACTCCCGCCGTTGAGCCGCGTGTCAACTTATAGTGCATACGGTACCTATACGCTTAAATTGTTTCTATTTCGTAGCTTATTCGACTACCTGCTTTCGATTTCGGTTGTTTGTTATTTGCTTTGTGATTTGGTTAAGGTTCAATGGATTTATATTGGCTTTCATTTTCGGATTTGTGTATTTTCTTGGATCGGTTTTGTTGATTTACACTTACATATACACATTTAGACTCTGGCTTTGATTTTGGATTTTGTTTATTTAGAATCGTGAATTGGTTTTCGTTGTTTTAAGTTGTTTAACAATATTTCAAAGGAATATTAATAGTGTAGACAGTGTATACGGAACCTATACACTTACTTCTTTTTTCGATGGTTATATTTATATTGACTACTGCTTTCGATTTCGCTTTTCTGCGATTTGTTTTGTGATTTGGTTTAAGTTGATTCGATTTTTTTTGGCTATCGTTTTCGGATTCGTGTTGTGTCTTAAATTGGTTTTGTTGTTTTGATTTTAAAAAAATATTTAAAAGCAATATTTATTCCTTTTTAGATATTTTGAATTTACTTTTAAAGAAGATATTTAAAAGGAAATTTAATTCCTTTTAGGTATTTTAACGTTTTTTTTTATAAAAAGGTTTTTTGTTACTTCATAATGCCTCGTAAACGTAAGTCTAGCCTTTCAAGAGTATCTTCTCAAAGACAAGCGAAAAGATTAGCTCGATCGCTAGAATCTTTAGAAGATGCTGAACTGAGAAGGCAAGAACAACCAGAGCGTCAGGCTGCATTTAGAGCATCTGAGACACCTTCTCAACGTCAGCAAAGGCGTCTTGAACAGACAGAGCGTCAGGCTGCATTAAGAGCTTCCGAAACATCTTCTCAAAGTCAGGAAAGGCGTCTTGAATAGGCAGAGCATCAAGCTACTTTAAGAGCTTCTGAAACACCTGATCAAAATCAGCGAAGGCGTCTTGAACAGGCAGAACGTCAAGCTAGTTTAAGAGCTACTGAAACACCTGATCAAAGTCAGCAAAGGCTATTCGAACAAGTGGAACGTCATGCCGCCTTAAGAGCCGCGGAAACACCAAGTGAAACTCAACACAGACTCATTGAGCAAGCTGAACGTCAATCTACTATAAGGGAATTTGAAACAACAGAACAGACACAGGCGCGAAGAGATGCAAATGCACAGCTCCAAGCTGAACGTCGACAAAATTTTCAAAGAAACAATTGGTCGGTTTTTAATGACGCAGCATTCAATTATGATCAGTTGATTGATTATAAAAATCACAGGTTAGTTGTTATCGGACTGATGGACAAGGCGTGTCGATTTTGCAGCGCTTTAAAATGGAAAGATGAGACCGCAGGCATGTGCTGTTCCAATGGCAAAGTGTTTCTTCCGTTACTTGGGGGACACCTGAGACCAGAGACAGAGAACAAGAACCTTTGAAAACTCTCTTTCTATATGATGCTAATGAGTCAAGGCGCTTTTTAAACAGGATCCGGAAATATAACTCATGCTTTCAAATGACGTCCTGCGGAGTTGACCGGAAAATAATAATTCCGGGATTTTTGCTTACATTTACGGTGCAAAGGCAAACTTATCATAGAATAGGTTCACTTTTTCCAGCTGAATACGAACAGCATAAATTTTTACAAGTATATTTTATGGGTGACGAAGATATTGAGGTAGACCGTCGCTGCCAATATATCCAGGGATTTGAGAGAGACACAGTGTTCAAAATTTAAAGATTCGTGCATGAACGTAACATTTTAGTCAAAAAATTTAAAACTGCTTTAAAAACCTACCTGAAGAGAATTATAAAGTCGTCATTCACGCAGATCGGATCCCTCGAGGAGAGCATGTAAGGCGCTACAATGCACCTTTGATAAACGAAATAGTAGCCGTAATTAGTGGTGATCAATTTTCTTCACGAGACATTGTCTTGTGAGCACGTGATGATACGTTGCAACGGGTAGCCGATAAGTTTTATGACGCTTTGCAATACCCATTAATTTATTGCAAAGGACAAGAGGGTTATCATTTTCAAATTCCACTCATTAACCCGGTCACAAAAGAGCCTACTCCGAACAAAAAAGTATATATATGATGTTGCGAGAAAATGATTTTAACCTCTTAGCCCGGTGTAGACAATTATTTCATCAATTTTTTGTAGGCATGTATCTGAAAGTAGAAAGTGAACGTCTCCGTTATATGTCTTTAA